TCAATATTCTTGTGTCCCAGGAAACAGGGATTCAAAGGGGGAGAGATGGAAGAATTATCGGTAAGTGGAATAGTCAGAAAAGACAACGTTTATCAATTAAGTTTGCCATGTTACATGGGCAGGGTTTGTGGTGCCCCAAAGCAATTACAATAGTAACACTGAAGATTACTGATCACAAATCACCCTAACAGATACAACAGTAGTGAAAATATCTGAAATATTGTGAGAATTACCAAAATGTGACACAGAGACACACCGAGCATATGCTGTTGGAAAACAGTACTGACAGACTTGCTCAATGCAGGATTGTCAAAAAACACAAAAACAAAACTCTCTGCGAAGCACAAAAAAAGTGAAGTGCAATTAAATGAGGTATGCCTGTAATTTAACAGATAATTCTGATAACCCAGTCAATGGCACAACAAGTTACTGGTAATATAGAAGCAGACTTATACATATGTGGTAGGCAACAGAGGAGGAAAATAGATATTGACTCCAAGAGGTATTTTAGAAATTAAACTCTTGAGAAAATATCACATATGCCAAGGCTGCTTTTGTTTCCTTTGTTACCTTCTCATGAAGCTGCTATGAAGGATACATAATTTCACACACAATATAACATGACTGTGTTCAAGCATAATAAACTACAGAGTTAAACTCCTAATGAGTCTCCTCACAAGGGATCTTCTCTCTATCCAGGGGTCTTCACCACCTTTGTTATGTTCTAAGCATACCATGCCCTGTAAGTTGCATTCAAAACATTATCTATTATGTCTACATCACTAATACATCATGTCATGCCAGCTTCAAGCCATTCTTCTATTCCACAGTAAGTCATTGCTGTGGCATAAATTATGAGTAATCACTGCCATTTTAAGAATTTGTGCTAGAGAACTTGGTAGGGGAGTGTGGGGTAAGAAAAGAGGAAGGTGAGTATGATACAAATTCTCAAGCAAAACTGACATAATAGAAAATAAAACATTTTCTCTATATCCTTAGTATTTTGTTTTCTACTGGGTTGGTGCAAAAGTAATTGTGGTAATAAATCAGAAGAACAAATAATGAGTATCTTTGTTTCTACTTAGGTACAATACTTTCTCATAAAATCTCCCATTCGTAACAAAGGTTTAACAAAGGTGATGCGGACATTCAAAAAGGAACATGAGTTATGAAGATATTCAAATAGGAAGAGGGGTATAAAAAAGACTTATTGATAGGACAGTAGAGAAATGACAATTTTGACTTCGGTCAGATTACTCTGGCTGTTACATAGAGAACCGACTGCAGGAAATACAAAGGGAAATTAGGAAGCTACTTCAGTGGTGTGGTCAAAAAATTATGACCCCCCAAAATGTTCACAAATAATCCCCAGAACCTGTGACTGTATTACCTTACGTGGTGAAAGGGACACTGCAATATAATTAAGTGGACACACCTTGAGATGGGGAGATTATTCTGCATTTCTCAAGTAGCTCAATTTAATCACATGAATTCTTAGAAGCAGAGGATCCTTCCCGGCTATGTCAGAAAGATGAGATGTGAGAAGGACTCAATCTGCTGCTGCTGGATTTGAAGATGAAGAAGAGGACCACGAACTAAAGGAATGTGACAGTCTCTAGAACCTGGAAACAACTCTCAGCTGAAAACTAGCAAGAAATCTGGATCTCAGTCTTACCACAAGAACGATGAAGTCCCTGCCAACCATCCAAATAAAAATAAAATGGATCTTTCCTAGAACCTCCTGAAAACAGCTGACAGCATGATTTTAGTGTGATGAGACCCATACCAGACTTCAGGTGTACAGAATTGTAAGAAAATTAATTTGCATTGCTTTGAATCGCTAACTTTGTGGTAATTTGTTTTGGCAGCAATAGAAAACTAATGCAAGTGGTCGGGACAAGAAAAGAGAAGTAGCTGCTAGTAGGGTGGTAGCTATGAAAAGGTTATGGCCAACGATGACGCCCAGAGGTAGTTTGGGGCCAGGTATTACAGAATGTTTATTAATAATGTTTCCAAGTTCAGAAATCAATCAGTAAAGCCCTACCTGCAGTAGGGGAAGGTAACTAGTGCAGGAGAACAAACTCCTGCTGGGTTCTCTGCCCTCAGTGCATACACCAAGCATGCTAAGTGCAACCATGTGCTCAAACTGTAGAAACTGCAAGTTTACCAACATGCTTAAGAAACAATACAATGCAAGTATAAATAACTTTAGAGCCACTTCAAATCCTTTTCTGAAGTAGGTGGGTACAAAATATAATCACCACCAAAAAAGACACATACCTTTTGACAGCACAAAACCTGGTCCTTCCCCTTATTTGCTTTGGCTGCCTTTAAGGTCACCAAAACTAAATTCACTCCAGTTGTAGTAACTCTTTCCTCTTAACCAACTCCTTGTTCCATTTTATAGTAGTTTTAACTTTAGAGCCACTTCAAACCCTTTTCTGAAGTAGGTGGGTACAAAATATAAATAAGAAGGCAGAACTGCAATATGTGTACACATAGATTATTTATTCTTGGCTGCAAATGAGAAAATTAGGATAGGAATGAAATGAAAACTGTTTCTAAAAAGATTGGCTGGGTGTGGTGGCTCATGCCTGTAATCCCAGGACTTTGGGAGGCTGAGGCGGACAGATCAACTAAGGTGAGGAGTTCAAGACCAGTCTGGCCAACATGGTGAAACTCCGTCTCTACCAAAAATACAAAAAGTAGCCTGGCATGATGGCAGGTGCCTGTAATCCCAGCAACTCGGGAGGCTGAGGCAGAAGAATGCTTGAACCCAGGAGGCAGAGGTTGCAGTGAGCTGACATTGTGCCACTGCACTCCAGCCTGGGTGGCAGAGCGAGACTCCGTCACAAAATATACATATAAATAAATAAATAAATAAATAAAATACATATATAAGCAAATCTACTGATTTTAAGGATATGTCTATTAAAATAAAGCTAAGGTGAGAGGCATACATTCAACTTATAAAAAAATTTTAAAAGGACACGTTAATTGATTTTAAAAACAATAAAAATTAACTTTTAAAAAATGTGCCATCACATAATCTGATAACTGGTGACAATAATCACATTTAATAATTAAGTCCAAGGAAATAAAAATGGATTATTCTAATTCTTGCAGAACTCTAAGTAAACTGACAAAACTCATATGAAGCAATCTATGGCAATTTTTACCCCAAGACAGCAGAGCTGAACAGTTATAGAGACTTCATGGCCTGCAAACTGAAAACGTTTACTCTAACTGCCCCTTTAACAAAGAATTTACGAAACTCTGGCCTAGACCCTAGGGATCCTCATTAATAAATTATTCTTATGGTTAGAAGAAAAAGTCTCCACCAATATAAGCAAATGCTTGCCTGATAGTCCAAAAAATTCCCAGAAAGCAAAATACATAAATTACTATGTATTAGTCAGAAAAATGAACAAAAATAATAATTAGTTACTTATGTCTATAACTTTATGTTTACAATAGCTTATTGTAAACATATTGTAAATATTGTATTGTTTACATATAATATACATATATATAACAAAGATGACAAAAAAGTCTGATTTTGTAAGTCAGGATTTGCAGAAATAAAACTAAAACACAACCAGAGCCAAGTCCAAAAATTCAAGATGTCCAAAGGATATAAGGTCATGCTGTAAGGTCCCTGCCTCACTGGTATCAGAAATAGAGTACAGTCATCCCTCAGTATCTGCGGGAGACTGGTTCCAGAGTCCCAGCAGATAACAAAATCCACAGATCCCTTATACAAAATGATGTATTTGCAAATAACCTACAAAGATCCTCCAGTATACTTTAAATCATCTTTAAATTACTTATAATACGTAATATAATATAAATGCTATGTAGATAGTTGTTATACAATATTTTTAAATTTGCATTACTTTTTATTGTGTATTGTTATTGGCTTTTCTCCCAAATATTTTTGATCCGCAGTTGGTTGAACCCATAAACATAGAACGCACAGATACACAGAGCTGACTATATTCCTTATTAATCTGGAAGAAAAGCAAGGAAAACAAACCAGCAGCAGTTGGGATAAGCTCTGTTTGTGCTATTCCCTTTCTCCACACAGAAATACAGGAATCTTTGGACCACGCTCAATGTCTACTCCATGTTCTTCCCAAATGTTTTATGTTGCCCTAGTGCCTCATGTTTGTGGGCCTCCAAGTGGTTCCTCCCAGATGCCCCAAAGTTCTCTACCCATCCAGAAGACCAAAGGGTTTCCTGGGTGAACTGACTACGTACAGTCGCTAAGAGAGCATAAAAGCTATCCTAATTTAGTACTAAGGTCTACCATATCATACTTTCCTAACACTTGCCTGAAATCACAGAGCAAAGCCTATAAAGCTGTGGTGCCTACTGCTCTGTTTCACATGTAGTGTCTGTGTCAATTTCAAAGATTTAGAAAACAGGCCAGGTTCCAAAAAAGGCTGCCACATCCCAGGTGCTGAGAATAATTAAAGACAATTAACGTTCAATGAACAGGTCAGTAAAAGGAATGGCTGACATCTTTGTGGTGAACCAGAGGAGCCATTTCTGATAGTCAAATGTCCTGGTCATTGGAGAAATGTACAGACCACATCTTTCAACCTTCCAAATTCTGGTGGGCTCTTTTACTAGGAAAACATTGTTGCCTGTAATAACTTAGCAATTGTCTACATTCATAAAGCATGAGGACAGGTAAACAAAATGATAAAAACTGAAGGTAAAATAGACAAAAGCGGAAGCACTTGGCAAAATAAAAGCGGAAATATTCAAATACTGGTTTTCTCCTACAAGATCCTGCTGCCCAGACTCAGGGGCCACTGCTCCAACTGAAGTAGAGATGCTGTCCCTGTGAATTTGGCTTCTCTGGTTCAGAGGAAGTATCATGTCTGTGAAAGGTTAATTATCCTAGTAATCCTATGCCATTTTTCACCAACTCCAAAGAAATTGCTTTACCGTTGGCCTCATTCTGAGATGGTATTTCAGAGTAAGCATCCTACCTTAATAGAAGCAATGTGGAGCAAAGTCTCTCCTCTATGATTTCTTTTCACAGCCATATTGGGCAACAGCTTCATTGCTGAGGGGCTAGACATCACTCGTCTGTAACTTGAACTATTTAATGTAGAAGGTGGTGTACTCGGAGAAAGACTAATGAATTCATCTGACAAGTTACTGTTTTTCCTCCCTGATGTACCACCAACTTTACGTTTGCATGAAGGTGGTGAAGAACATTCAGGCAATGGTGTATTTTCTGAGGGCATCGCTTGCTTAACAAAATCTCCACTGGTGCTCAGAATGCTGGTTCTACATCTCTTAGAAATGGGACTGGAAAGTCTATTGTGATGGCCACGTTTTCCATTATTTTCTAATGGCCAAGATTTCTTAGATGTAAGATAATTTTTGCAGACCTTCTCAGGAGTCACTACTTCATTCCTGCTCTTAGTGTCCGGAGACTCTATTTGCTCAGCCAATGGTAAAGAGACTTCAGTTAAACTTCCAAAACATTCAGATTCTGTCAAGGAGCCACTTGCTAGTAAGTCTATTTCACCATTTATCTGAGGACTGGAGATAACGGATGGTTGGCTACAGAAAGATACCAGCTTTTGCTTTGATTCCTCTTTGGAGTCAAATTGACCATCTTCTTTTTCTGCCTCTAAATTCCACTTTTGGTTGATTTCAGCTAAAGTTTTCTTTTTTTGCTTTTTTCTGGATCTTGCAGAAGACTTTTTAGCCCTCTCAGAAACATCTGCAGGAGGACTTGTGGAAACAAATTCATAGGAGTCTTGCTGAGCATTTGCATCTTTTTTTATTTCAGGCTGGGTTCGCACTGAAACTTTACTCACAACATATCTAACTTTCTTACTTCGAGGGCTAAACCACATTTTAATTGAATTCTTCTTGTTTTCTGCATCATTAAACAAACTTCTCCTAGGGTCATCTTCTTTCAAATCTGACAGGAAAAAAAGAAAAAGAAATCTGTTACATGAACTTTATTGCTCCCACAAGGAGCTCCCAAAGAATTCTGTTTATAGTTCCCCTAAAGTGTATCGTCTTTTAATTATGTACTTCTTTCTCAGCTCCTAGAGTATGAACTCTTTGACAGCAGATATTCACTCATTCAATAAATACTTACTGAATCCAACTTTGTGCCATATCTTAGAGACTGAAGATATAGCAGAGAACAAAACATAAAACTTATATTCCAAATATAGTACCAAAAAACCCCATAAAATACAAATCTAACAGAATGTGTAAGTTCTGTTTGCTAGGAATTACAAAATACTTATTAAAGAATTCTACACAAACGGAGAGATATACCATGTTCATGAACTATAACAATATTGTTAAGATGCCAATTGTTCCAAACAGATTTACAGATATAACAAATCCCAATGTAAATTCCAGTAGGCTTATTTGTAAAACTCAACAAGCAATTATAAAATTTACATGGAAAAGAAAGGTACAATTTGAAAGGCAAAAGACTTAGAACGACCAACATAATACTGAAGAACAAAGTTGGAGGACCCATACTATATGATTTCGAGACTTATCTCTGACAAAATGAATACAGGGGATTAAAGACAATAGTCATGACCCTTTAGGTATCATCTAATATTAACTTCAAGCTGTATAACCAAAGATTAGTAAGAATGAATAAACAATAACTACATACTCAAACATAATCTCTTAAGCCAAAGAAGCTACATACACATTGTATGTTTTCACTTACATCAAATATAAAACAGCCAAAACTAATTTAATGTGTTAAGTCAGAATAGTAGTTGGTTATCCCTATAGGGAAAAGCAGTGACTGAAAGGGAGCACAAGAGGGACTTCCACGGTATTGTTTTTGTTCTGGGCAAGTTCAGTTTGTGCAAATTCATTAAACTATACAGTTAGAAAATATACATATTTTCTAAATATATATAAAAAATAACTTTTTTAAAGTTTTTAAAAAATATAGATTTATAATTAAGAATTAAAACACAAAGATTCCATGGAGGGTAGACAGAATATACAAAGATTCATTAGAGTTTTTAAGAAGAAAAATTAAAAAATTTTTCTGCACAGCAAAAGAAACTATCATCAGAGTGAACAGGCAACTTACAGAATGGGAGAAAAATTTTTGCAATCTATCCATCTGACAAAGGACTAATATCCAGAATCTACAAAGAACTTAAAACAAATTTACAAGAAAAAAAAAAACATCAAAAAGTGGGCAAAGGATATAAAGAGATACTTCTCAACAGAAGACATTTATGCGACCAACAAACATGAAATAAAGCTCATCATCATTATTAGAGAAATGCAAATTAAAACCACAATGAGATACAATCTCAGGCCAGTTAGAATGGGTATCATTAAAAAGCCAGGAAACAACAGATGCTGGACAGGATGTGGAGAAACAGAAATGCATTTACACTGTTGGTGGGAGTGTAAATTAGTTCAACTATTGTAGAAGACGGTGTGGGCATTCCTCAAGATCTAGAACCAGAAATACCATTTGACCCAGCAATCCCATTACTGGGTATATATCCAAAGGATTATAAATCATTCTACTATAAAGACACATGCACATGTATGTTTACTGCAGCACTGTTCACAATAGCAAAGACTCGGAACCAACCCAAATGTTCATCAATGATAGACTGGACTAAGAAAATGTGGCACATATACACCATGGAATACTACGCACCCATAAAAAGGATGAGTTCATGTCCTTTGCAGGGACATGGATGAAGCTCGAAACCATCATTCTCAGCAAACTAACACAGGAACAGAAAACCAAACACTGCGTGTTCTCACTCATAAGTGGGAGGTGAACAATGACAACACATGGACACAGGGAGGGGAACATCACACACCAGGGCCTGTCGGAGGGTGGGGGGTCATGGGAGGGATAGCATTAGGAGAAATACCTAATGTAGATGACGGGTTGATGGGTGCAGCAAACCACCACAGCACATGTATACCTATGTAACAAATCTGCACGTTCTGCACATGTATCCCAGAAATTAAAGTATAATTTTAAAAAAAGAAATAAAGCCGTTTGTTCTTCCCATAGAAGCCTTTTCTTCCCTCTACCTCTTCCCATTAATTTAGGTTTATAAACCCCTATTTTTGCCAGTTTGGAGAGTCACATTTTTCTGTGAACTTACATATATATTCATAAATAAAAATCTGTCTTTTCTCTTACTAATCTTTTTTACAGTTTAATTCACAGGCCTCCATACAATGAACCTAAGAGTGTAGAGGAAAAGTTTTTTTTCATTGACAAATCATACAAATCATCCACTTTTCTGATTTTGACAACTCCTTTCAAGTTGTCTTACGTTGTTTTTGTCTTTGGGATATTCATTTTCTTCAAGAAAAAAAAATTGCCTTAAAATTCTCTCCCACTCCATGTAAACATAGGTAAAAATCAACCCAGGTCAGCCTAGCACAGTGTTAAGCACATGAATAGATAGTGCTCAGTAAGTACTAGTGAATAAATTATCTGATAGTTTCTTAAATCTTTCCAAATGTTTATGTAAGAGATGTTAGAATTAATTTTAAGAGCTAGAAGAAAACTTGAAAATAATTTAGTCTAATTCTTTCGTTTTAACAATGAAGGACTAAAGTCAAAACAAAAAGAAGGAAGGAGTCCCCTAACTCCCAATCTGGTGCTTTATCTCTCCACACAAACTGGATTAGCAAAGGTAATTTCAGGTCCAGAAAAAAAAAAGAAAGAGAGAAAGAAAAAAAGAACATAAGAAAGGGAAGAAAGTTGGAAAAATAACAATAACCAGATAAGATTAAAAAAATAATTAACAAATGATTTCATGCTGCCTGACAAACATTCTCCTAATTAACACAATCTCCTCTGACCAACCAGGCTTCTTACAATATGTTCTGTGATTCCTATTAAAAAAAGAAAGAAGAGAAAAGAGAGAGACAGAGAAAAAGACAGAGAGAAAAAGAAACTACCCAAATTTTGTTTTCCTCCTTTAAAGTTGCTCTTCATTCAAATAGAAAAGAACGCTGCATAAAACTTTACTTACATTACAGAACCAAAGAAAAATTTTAATGGAATGGAGTTCTAAACATAAGGTACCTTAAGAAGAAAACCAGTGGCCACTAGTCTTATTCCTAAGGGCTAAAACATCCACCATATAGGAAATAAACATCTGATGTTACTAAGATATTCAATAACATTTTCAAATGGTGATTATTCTTGCAAACTTTTAATACTTAGGAGATACATTATTTTCATTTTCTTACTGTTTTGTGGAATAAATTTCTTCTCAACATTCTCATGTCTTTATTAGCAAAAGAAAAGTACATCATCAATTATTTTTTATTTCCTTTTAGTCATTTTTTATTCACACAGAACAGCTTGTTTTATTGTTTTACCAGCTTAAAATTATTAATACACCAGAAGATTGTTAATGATAATCTCAATTCTTTCAAGTTCAAAATTGTTTCTTCTGCCTATTCTTTCACCTCATATTTCCTGAGTACAAAAGTCCTATCTTTAAAAATACACTCATCTGGTAAAAGAACCTTAAAACAAGTGAGAAGAAATGGGAAACAGGCTTTGAAAAATAAAATAATTATTACTTAACTCTAGAAATTTCAGACATGATCCCTGCCTAGCAAAAGAGTAAAGATTTTCTACTCCAAAGTGTAGCCATTGCTTCCTGCAGAAGGAATGGAAGCACGACATTGAAAAGGCAGTAAAATGATAAACCTGCTGGAGGCAGGAGTACGTATCTGAATAAGGGCAGATTCTCCTACGTAAACCCTTTAAATGTCATAGGTGAACATGACCTGGTCCACAAAGTGTTATTAAGACAGGATCTTGGAAAGTATCAGAAAGAGGTATCCATTCACATAAAGACTTTATGTCTAGATTCAACAAGGTCTTTTCTTTGCAGTGATAAGTAGATTTCAAAACCAAGTCACTTCTGATACAATCTCAAGTCTATAGGAAAGGTCAAAATGAAATGTTACCAGGATTACTTTTCAAGAAAGACTCAGGATTACAAAGACATAAAGGTTAATCCTCTGATAGTCTATAATAACTTGCATTTGATTTTGTTTTAAATTATTTTAAACATAGATGACATTTTCAATTAAAACCATGTCAAACCCTGAGGTTCTCAATGTTTGAAAAACTTTAAAAATGTAGAATTGAGCTTTTAAAGGAAAATTAAGCCTTACATATAGCAGCAACATACTCAACTGACTAAAAACCTAAATCTAAAAAGACCAGAAATTTCATACTCAGATGTACATATTTCCTACCTTATAAATGAGTAAATGAAGATAACATATTCAACGTAATTGATATGAACACAATTTTACTATTCATCTGGTAATAACGTTACTCAAGAAGATTTTAATTATGTGTCTTGCATAACTAAGCAAGGAGCACAACAACAAAGATAACTGTATATTCTGAATTTTATTAGATATTCTGAATATCTAAGGTAATATCTAAGATAAAACTGTAAAAAGCAAAACACTACTGCTGGAACATAAATCACATTATTAACAACTACCAACAATTTTTACGGGTGAATGCTTCTCAGCACGATAAATCATAATATTCATTTCATGAAGAAAAACATTGGTCTTTCCTCTGCACAGTAAATTCCTTAATAATAATATTTAAAAGAAAATTCTATTCTCTGAATTTCAGAGTACATCACAAAATATTGAGCAACAGAGATGCACGTGTTACTAAAGAGCTGCTTAGCCAAGTTTTTTCTTAAAATTTAATAATCAACTATAGAAAAAAGAGGCAATTAGAAAATGTGATTTAGCTATCACTAATCTACATCAAAGGATTATAATGATGTACATTGTGTGCCTTTCAAATTATTCTCTATTATAGGTTTCACAACCGAAGTTGAGAAATCTCTTTGACGAACCAGTTCCTTATTAAAAATCAAAGGAAAGTCCTTT